GACGCCCCATTCATACATACATGTTAGCTGTACATAGCATGAGTGACTCAAGCACTGGTCAGAAATTAATCAGGTTCATTAACTCGCTGGCCTCATTACCCACGCGGTCAGATCAATGTATTACATGATCTCTCCACAAACCGTGGCTAATCTAGCCGTACACGTAGCTACGTCCAACGACGATCACTCTCTTTATATTTCCGGTAAGGACTGCTGTGGTGCATTCAGTCATGTGATTCCATGTTGTTCAATTGAAGTTTTTAAAAAACTTAAAGAAAAGTGTTGTTCTAAGATCGTTATCATTATAAAAGTTAGAAAAAACATAACCGGCTTTAAAAATATGTACTGTATAAATAAAATATAGCTTTTAAAAGTGAGTGAAAAGGATGTTTCAACTATATTTCGATCATATTTCAAGCTTATATTAGAAACATGTGAAGCAATAGTGTACTTTCCACTAGAACTGAATGAATTCTGGGTCGTCTTACAAACTCATGTATAGAAATCGAGAGGTTATAGGGTGCACACAGTTCAATCGAGAGGTTATAGGTTGCACAAAGTTAAATCGAGAGGTTATAGGGCGCACAAAGTTTGAAAGCTTTAAGTGTAAGAGTATATTATATTAAGTTTTCTGTAACTGACAACTAACTAAGCAGCAATGTTTCAATTGTTTAGAATTTAATGATAAAACCACATGTGGTGAACTTACCACGTCATCCCACACATCATCATCTGACACTGTACTGTGGGACACAGAAGAGAAGGAAGCGTCCGAGTCCATTGATTTGTCCTCGTCGTAACCGTAATAAGTCTCTCTAATGCCCAGGTTCTGTGTGTAGATTTACATTACATAAACCATTGAATATAATGTTTACCAACACGAGAAATTTAAAAAGTTGACCGGAAATTAAATTAACGAAATAAAATTTTATTTGACCCCCCCCCCCTTTAGTGATGAGATAAAAGAAAAAAAGCGGGTTACCTTTTCTGCTGGTGTCATGAGTCTCCTCCTCTTCTTACGGTGCTGTATCAATTCAATTCTTCGATCTTTTTCCTGTAGGAAATCAATTCTCATGAATAAATTTCCATGCGCCGTTTATTCGGAGAAAACTGCTATAATTTCAATTTATTATGGGCTGCTAGACTGGCACAATTATCAACTAGATTATAATTTACCCGAATAGTATGATATTTTAAACTTTTTATGAAATCAAGATATTTAGAATTCAAATAGAAACTTCCAGAAAATTGAATACTTATACCTTACATTTAAAGGTTACTATAAGGTTATTGTTCGTCATCTGAACATATTTCCCCCCTAAACCCAACCCAAAAAACCAATCTTAGACAGGACCCTAATGTAACTAGACATTACTTTTGACGACGGACTTAAACTTTCAGCAATCGCTTCTTAGTGCCCTAAGACAGTAAGAATTTGATTCTTTTTTTTTAACCACTGACATCGAAATATACGAGGCACGCTATTTTAAAAGAAATGTCAGTAGAGTTGAGTATAGCTATTCCATTCAGGCTAGGGTTGGGATAATGCTTCGTGCTAATTTCATGGTTAGGGTTATGTAACCCTAACCTCTAGCATCTAGATTAGATTTAGTCTCTTTTTAATCGGCCGTCTTAATTACTATAAAAATTTTCACTAAGCATGAGTTTGTCAGAACACACGTACAGAGCAGGCCTGCTTTAGGGCGGCGATGGTCTTGTGGTCTTCCATCATCTTCTTCTTCATCTCCTCCACCAGAGAGCTCTGATTCTCCAAGTTACTTTTTTCAGCCTTCTGCTCAATCAGTTGTCTGGTCAACTGGAGAATGTTCAGTTTGGAATGTTCCAGAAGTTCTTGCTGTAAATGACATGGAATCATTGAACCGTGAACACTGGATGTGTAAGTACTTAATAAACGATGGATCTAATACATTTCAAACAGAAGGTTTGTAGGTTTGTGAATACAACTACTCCTAGTTATGGTCTCACCATTTAGATTTTGAAGTTTAAATATAAAGGTAACATAATTGTATTAAACAAAGTTTAAACTTGATAGGTCCGAAAGTAATGTTGCACGAAGATCATACGGAATTCAATAAAAATGTAATATATGGTAGTTGTTTGTTTTTTTAATCTGTTGAGGTTTAGCCACGTTCAAGCTTAATACAAACTGAGAACAAGAAATTGTTTTCTGATGTAATGATCTCATTTAAAAACTTTAATTAGCGTAGTATTATGGTAATGCAAGATGAAGCGAAAATATGCAATTATAAAAATTATATTAATTATAAATTTAAAAAAAAATGTTGTGTCTACCATTTTTTTATTCTCGTGTAACACTTTGTCACTGCTGTCCTTATAGGCCCTGTTCTGGGCCGTCAGTTCCTTGTTCCTGTACAAGTAAGCCCGGCACTTGTCTACTAGTTCCTTGTTCCTTGCTTTCAAATCTTTCAGCTTGTTGGGCTGTGGGGGACAGAATGGACTGATGGGAACATTCGTTACAGAGATTCTAAAGAGCTAAAATGTAGGTAATTTGAATAAAATTTGACAGAATGACGAGAATCGCTACAAAAAGATATCCAAAGTACTCAAGAGCTCATGATAGGCGTGCTTTGGCAACCAGTGCAATAAAACTGAACTTTTGGTGAAAGATTACTTAAGAGTTAGGTCATAATTAGCTGCAAATAGTGGTGAGGGGGGTCTTTGTGACACATAGTGAGAGGGGAATTAGAAATGTAACAAATTACTTTACTTTAAAAAAAATACAACCAATGAGAAAAAGTCAATGTCTCTTTTAATTATCTTTTATGGAGGAGAGATAAAAGCGGGAGGGTGGGGGTGCTTATGGGTTTGGAAGGGGGGGGGGGGGAGAGAGAGAACGACTAAAATTGGCACTTATGTACAATATCTCAGTAAAACTAAAATGAACAGCTAGTACAACAAAAAATGACCAGTTAGTAAAGCATAAATGACCAGGAGTTAAACAGTAAAGAGCAGAAAGTAAACGAGTTAAAGGACACTGACCAAGTCTTGCTTGCCCGGTGTGGAGTTTTCCACATCTGTGGACCAACCATCCTCTACACCTCCAGTTGTCTGAAAGGTCAAGGTCATTTAGTTCAGCTTCTTTGCTTGTATGTGTGTTAATAGGTATTCAAAGAAAGGTCGGGTATTTATTCATTCTGAGCATCAATACGCACCTTAGTTCATATAAACTAAAAGCTAAATACATACTGTATAACATAAAAGGGTAAGGGGTGGTTTAGCATTTATTACATCGATATTGTTTCATCTGGGGTAGGGAGGTGGTATAAACCGATGTTTTAAAAACTGAGGTTGATCTTTTTTTTCCGTATTTTCATAAATTTTACTGTTGAGAATAGATCTATGAATAAAAATAAACCCGCTGTCTAATCCTTTTTACCCCACAATATCAAGGCTTACTCAAAAAATTCTAGAAGCAGTGCGGTATTTTATCTAAAACGATTTGATTCCTAAACTTCCTATAAATGGAATATAATATGAGACAGGTGGTGTTGTAATCTTATATAACTTTATGTTGGGTAGTGGGTAAAAATTGTGTTAAAATTTATGGGCACGATCCCTTAAATTTGATGGTTTCTTGCTGATAAAACTAAAATTAGTTTTTTATTTAGCCTAAAATATCCGCCTGCAGCTACCCATACCCCCCCCCCATCCCACCTATGCCATTAGGTGGTTGCTGTCTAGATATTTTTTTACCTGTGTAGGTAGAGCATCGTATGTGTATCGTTACCTGTCAGACAATCTGATTTCACATCCAGTTTACCTGGGTGGGTGTGTTCTTTTTCAATGTTTTTTTAGGTTATGTAATATTCTAGAAACTTGACCATAATTAACTGTTGGTTGGTCACGTTATTTATAAGCTAATTAACTTTCTTATCATGAGTCATACTTGTTAGTTTGGCTATAAGAAGGCAGCGTAGTTAAGATTAGTGGAAGGTCGAGGTAATTGAAACCTTAATATAAACTTCATTACTTTTTTACTGATGTTTATGTTTTCTGTCTTGTCTTCTATCGGTTCTGTATGGCTATGTGCCCTCACTACTCATGCCAAAAGATTTGGAGGATGGGGGGTGTGCTATAGGGTACCATGTGAAAGTAGGATCAGCAGATTGGTGTGGGGTAAGGGTCCACGTTAATGTGGGGTCCACACAGTGCTGTCATTAGGTCGGGGGTCACCGGTGTGGTAACTGAGGGTGTCACTCCACCCCCTTAAACCATTTTGCGTTTTCGGTTTGGTGTCTCCTCACTACCCTACTAGTTTGTCATCTTAACTTTGTATTGATAGTACATTTTTTTAAAATTTATCTATTTCGAATTGCCGTCGCCCCCTAACCCTAACCCGGTGCGGACCGCACCCTCCGGCCCCGCCTTGTGACGCCACAGGGTCCAAATGTTGGCCGGGGTCTAAATATAATAAAGCAAATTATGTCAGGTACGACTTACTGAGCTGAATGTAGGGTCAACCTTAAAATGGGGGTCAAAAGATCGGCGTTAAGGGGGGTCATTGTATGTGTCGGTGTCTAAATGTTTTACCAACAACTAATGCCAGTAAAGACTTACGGGGGTGGAGGTAGGGGTCCACGTTACAGTGGGGTCATCGCTGTCTCGGGAGAGTGCACTGGAGGGGTGTGAGAGGGCGTGCGCCCCCTCACCAGACTCACGCTCCAGGGCCGCGAGTTGAGCAGCTACCCACTGTTGGCCGAGGTCTTTCTCCAGCTGCGAAATTAGTTTGTCTTTGTTCTTCAGCTGCTCAATCTGAAAGTATACAATCTGAAAGTTAAACATTGGAACAAGTATATGGGGCACAAGTTGAACGTTAAGATAAGTATGCAGGGGCACAAGTTGAACATTGGGACAAGTATACAGGGGACACAAGTTGAACATTGGGACAAGTATACAGGGCAAAAGTTGAACAGTGGGACAAGTATATGGGGCACAAGTTGAACACCGGGACAAGTATATGGGGTACAAGTTGAACAGTGGGACAAGTATACAGGGCACAAGTTGAACATTGGGACAAGTATACAGGGCAAAAGTTGAACATTGGGACAAGTATACAGGGCAAAAGTTGAACAGTGGGACAAGTATTCAGGGCACAAGTTGAACAGTGGGACAAGTATACGGGGCACAAGTTGAACAGTGGGGCAAGTATATGGGGTACAAATTGAACATTGGGACAAGTATACAGGGCACAAGTTGAACAGTGGGGCAAGTATATGGAGTACAAATTGAACGTTGGGACAAGTATACAGGGCACAAGTTGAACATTGGGGCACGTATATGGGGTACAAGTTGAACGTTGGGAAAAGTATATGGGGTATTTGTTGAAGGTTGGGACAAGTATACAGGGGGTACAAGTTGAAAGTTGGGACAAGTATATGGGGTACAAGTTGAACAGTGGGATAAGTATACACGGCACAAGTTGAACGTTGGGACAAGTATATGGGGCACAAGTTGAACATTACGTCAAGTATAAATAGCACACCAAAGCTAGCCCTACCACTAGCCCACCAAAGCTAGCCCTATCAACTAGCCCACCAAAGCTAGCCCTATCAACTAGCTCACCAAAGCTAGCCCTACCACTAACCCACCAAAGCTAGCCCTATCAACTAGCCCACCAAAGCTAGCCCTATCAACTAGCCCACCAAAGCTAGCCCTATCAACTAGCCCACCAAAGCTAGCCTTACCAACTAGCCCACCAAAGCTAGCCCTATCAACTAGCCCACCAAAGCTAGCCTTACCAACTAGCCCACCAAAGCTAGCCCTATCAACTAGCCCACCAAAGCTAGCCTTACCAACTAGCCCACCAAAGCTAGCCCTATCAACTAGCCCACCAAAGCTAGCCTTACCAACTAGCCCACCAAAGTTAGCCCTACCAACTAGCCCACCAAAGTTAGCCCCTACCAGCTAGCCCACCATAGTTAGCTCCAACCAGCTAGCCCACCATAGACTCTACCAAATAACTATCCCACTTCCCCTGACCCCACTATAACACCACCACTACCACCATCAACACCTAATTGACCAGCAACAATATGTAAAATCAAATGCCAGAGTGTTCCCATTAACTTCTCCCAGACCCACACTCAGCAGACGTGGGTGACTCAGCCCCACAAGAATGTGGCTCACCAAATCGCGCCTACAGGATTGAATCAACACGACATACAGAAAGAAAAAAAACTCCATGAAAACCGCTTTTCTTTTATAAATTTAGCATGTTGCTTAACATTCTTCATCTGGGCGTGGCTTTGTTATCTTATTTTACTTCTTTTAAATCGTTATTTATTCATCAAACGATATTTATATATCGAATTTCCTCCCGTTGCTATTAATAACTCCCGTATTAAGTCAGTAAATAAAGTTTTATAGTTGATACTTGATCATGAAACTTAATTAAGATGAGAATAATTTAGAGATGAATCTTTAGTGTCCATTATGTTCGGTAGACTCGAATCAACGTGTGCGGGTTATCATTAAACTGGCGCCATCACTGGGGTATATCTGAAGGGGGGGGGGAGGGGGCGGGGGGACCGGGCTGTGCATAAGACAGGAAAGGTGCACATCTCCGAGTAAACCCAGATAAAAGATAGTTTTTAGCAAGGTGAAGGTGATTTGGTGAGCAGCACAGTGACGTCTATTTTAAGATGGGTGCTGATAGTGTGTTAACACGGGGAGTTCTGTTTCAGGTCAGGTGATGGTGGTGAGCTAATGGTGAGACAATGGTGAGACAATGGTGAGACAATGGTGAGACAATGGTGAGACAATGGTGAGACAATGGTGAGACAATGGTGAGCCAATGGTGAGACAATGGAGAAACAATGGTGAGCTAATGGTGAGACAATGGTGAGACAATGGTGAGCTAATGGTGAGACAATGGTGGGTCAATGGTGAGACAATGGTGAGTTAATGGCGAATCAATGGGAGCAAATGGTTTATAAATGGTGAGACAATGGTGACTCAATGGTGAGTCAATTGTGAGTTAAAGGTGATTAAATGGCGAGTCAATGGGGAGAAAATGGTGAAACGGTGAAGACCAATGATCTATTAGAGCTTTTAACTTTACATTGAAAATGTTATTGGTGATTTATACTTGACCATTGTGCAAGTCATCTTTATTGTTTACTTAGGATATCTCTTTTTTAAAGAAAATAGTGTTACACGGCTAACTTAATACCAGGAAACTGGATGGGAGGGGGCTCATAACGAGAGCTAAATGGGAGGGGCGTCATAACCAGTGGTGGATGGGTTGGGGGCGAGGGCTCATAAAGAGTGCTATATGGAGGGGTTCATAACGAGTGCCGGAGCCACCACCTCACCGCTGATGTTTCGTGTTCAAACCCAGTTTTCACCGGATATTGTCTCCGACTAAGTCAGATGTTGTAGAATGATTGGCTGGTTGGTAGTGTCAGCCCTGGGTATGTCAGCCACACATTGGTCTGACATCAGACCCGGACCCAACAAGTGTGGGTGTGGGGTTGTGCACAGAGTTTCTTTCAGGCATCTCTTCAGTGGGCACCCCCCCCCCCCCTCCACCCTTTTCCGAACGAAATAGAATTTATGTAGAAAATATATACTTTTACCAGTGTCAGCCCCCCCCCCCCGCTGAAAAATTTAGTAACACCCCCCCCCCCCCACCCCCAAGAAAAAGCTCTGAATCAATCACTAGTTGTGCCGTTCAAATATCCCCTTATTGCAACGGCTATTTATTAACTGTTTATAGATCGACTGTGAATGATTGGATTGGAACGAAAGTATGCATGTCCACTATTAAGTTAGCCAACGTTTTGACAAAAGCTCTGGGGGCTGGGATATCATCATGTGACTTATGATGACGTCATGGGGTATTAATTAACGTCTCTGGGAGTTTGTAAGCTGGGTTTTTGGACACAGATTAAGACGGCAAGTGCCAAATAGTCAAGTGGATTACGTTGGAACTAAGCCGTCTTTAATTAGCAGATCATGATGGAACTTTTTTTTAAATGTGTGTGGTGTTTGTGTGAGATGTGTGTATGAATTTGAGTGGTGTGTGTATGTAATTATGTGAGTGTGTGTGAATGTAACTCTGTGAGTTTGTGTGTGAGTAGGTCTATGTGTGTAATTCTTTGAGTGTGAGTGTAACTATATGAGTGTGTGTGTAAGAGTAGCTCCATAAGTGTGTGTAACCCTGTGAGTGTGTGTGTGTGAGTTGCTCTATGTGTGTGTAATTCTTTGTGTATGTGTGTAACCCTGTGAGTGTGTGTGTGTGTGTGAGTTGCTCTATGTGTGTGTAATTCTTTGTGTATGTGTGTAACTCTGTGAGTGTGTGTGTGTGAGTATGTCTATGAGTGTGTGTAGCTCTGAGAGTGTGTGCGTGTGTGACTCAGGCGTTACAGGAATCCAATTGTTTAAGAAAAAATAATGTGTAAGTCGGTCCAACTGATCAAGGTAGTAACTGCACCCATTCATTGAGCAGTATTTAATGTCGAATGCTGCCTTTTTTCAAATTTTATTTATTATGGCTTGTGTTCGAGTAAATTGCTATCGTTGTTTAAAAAGAGCAGTACAATACTACAACCCATTAAAACCATAAATTAATTAAAAGAATAGCAGGGATAATTTTATGGTGGTAAATAAACGAATATTACGATTGCTACCCGCATATTTTCACGTGAGTGGACATCTATATCTAAGAGTCGCATCGGTTACATACTGTGACGAGACTAGCGTTAGTTCATGGAGACCAACAAATGCAGGAGTTGTGTGTTGTAATAGTTGTTTTTTTCTTCGTGGAATACACACTGAGAGGGGCGATAACAATAAATTTTTGGCCGATTCTAGTCGGAATAAGATACGCATGCGATACGCATGCGCAATGGAGAGAAACTACGTCTTAGCGGCGATGTTTTCGATGGTACTGCGCATGCGTGTGTTTACAACCGCAGAACCCTAATACCAACCCTAATCCTATCCTTAACCCTATCCCTAATCCTATCCCTAACCCTAACCCTAGCCCTAATCCTATCCCTAACCCTAATCCTATCCCTAACCCTAGCCCTAATCCTATCCCTAACCCTATCCCTAATCCTACCCCTAACCCTCATTCTAGCCCTAACCCTAGCCATAGGTCACTGCGCATGCGCAGAACTATCTTTTGCCGAAAAATCTTATTCCGAGTAGACACTTCGTAAATTTTTATTTAAGGAAAATTTATAATACTCATTTTTATTTAAAGAAAAACGTATAATTTAGAGTGTAATAACAAAAACATACACTAAAATTATAAATAAAAAATAAAAAAATTAAAATAGTTATTAAAGTAAAATATATTGATTTTCCAAAAAAAAAATCGTGTAATACAAATTTTAGAGACCGCTGGCTTTAACAATAGCTAACAATTTAACATTCATGACACACTGTATAATTTGCGTTTAATAAAATCAGTGTTCTTGTAATTTGGCAATTCTGGCCTCCTAATGATTTTAATTTTAATTTTTTTTTAAATTTTGATTCCCCATTTCCTTGAGTCCATTCTTATTTGAAGTGATTCTCATGCCAAATTACTCTTCATTTAACTACTATGTATACAATTTTTTATCATGTCAGTGAAACTGTATAAAACTACAAAATAAATTTTTCTATTATTTTGAATGTTTAAAATAAATCTATTAAAAAAACTGTGGGAGGGCTGCTATAAATATATATCTGTTTGAAAGGGAAGAATGTTTGATTTGATGTGTCTCAGTGTACTCAACATATCATCCAGACTGCTTACAATATTTATATTATTTTTATTTACTCCCAAATTTATTTCAGCTCCACTCAGTGTTTCTTCCGGACATTTTTTTCTTGGGGGGGGGGGGGGGGGGGGCTCGGCCCCTACGAAAAGGTACCTGGAAGAAACTTTAGCTCCATTTATAAGCTCATAGCCCGTCAACCCGCCGAAAGGAAAAGAAAAGAGAAAAGAAGGGAAACAAAACAAAACCAAAATAACCAGATCGTTGAATCACCATTTGTATTTTCGAGTTTAAAATAAAATTGTAATTAGACGTTTAGTATTATTATTTTGTATGTAAACCATCTTAAATGAATGAGGGTACATGTAAGAAAGAAGTGTTACTATTGTAAATCTAGACCAGTCCTCATAAGCCGATGATGAAAACTGTGATACTAAAGCGAACATGGCAAGGCAAACTGACGCTGTAAATTAGATGTCTGAGGCAAAAAAAAATGTTTTCAAATCAAGAATACTGTAATACAATGATTGAAATCGATGAATACTAATGGAAAAAATTAAAATTGAATTTTTTAATTTTAAATGTAATATGTTAATCAACGTATTTCCCACCCATAATTTAAACTTTTATATTAAGCGTTTTGTATTAAGCAACTGTTGTAAATGAATTAAAAAATTTAAATATTCGGAAATTAAACAAATGGAACCATTAAGTTTCTATGAAAACCACAAGCCTTGCCTTACGACTTTCTGTATTTGAAGTTAAAAATAATAAATGACAATTTTAAGTTAAAAAAAATAATTTTGATTAAAAAAAAAATTCCACTTGTACAGCTCTTGATGTTTATTACATTAGGTTTGAACCAGTTACAAATTTCTTGAACTATTATTTTAATAATTATTTTTTAAACTTTTATTTTTAAAAAAAATCTTATATAAGTGATGATGAAGTACTCACGTTGCGAATAAGATGAGCAACGGTGACAGCTGAAGTCAGTGCTGGTGACCTGGGCGAAACAGAATGACACGGGTCCATGTCGAAGTGGACATGTGTGTGCTAGAAAGGCCGGGTGCCCTCTGAGGCCAGCACGGCTCTGCGCATGATGGCACTCAGTTCCCACTCTGCTGGGAGCGGCGGCGTTTGGGTTTTTATGTACCCGCGGTGTTGGACTCACGCGCTTGCTCGCGGTGCTCACACAGGCACGTGCACGCTGTGTCACGGTGCTGGTTTTTCAAGCTAGATGAGGTAGAGGCGGGTGTACAGGGTTTCGTTAAACGGGTGGATATGTCCCCATTTAAGACATTCTATATACGGGTGGATATGTCCCCATTTAAGACATTCTATATACGGGTGGATATGTCCCCATTTAAGACATTCTATATACGGGTGGATATGTCCCCATTTAAGACATTCTATATACGGGTGGATATGTCCCCATTTAAGACATTCTATATACGGGTGGATATGTCCCCATTTAAGACATTCTATATACGGGTGGATATGTCCCCATTTAAGACATTCTATATACGGGTGGATATGTCCCCATTTAAGACATTCTATATACGGGTGGATATGTCCCCATTTAAGACATTCTATATACGGGTGGATATGTCCCCATTTAAGACATTCTATATACGGGTGGATATGTCCCCATTTAAGACATTCTATATACGGGTGGATATGTCCCCATTTAAGACATTCTATATACGGGTGGATATGTCCCCATTTAAGACATTCTATATACGGGTGGATATGTCCCCATTTAAGACATTCTGATCTCATTTTTTAAGTATTACTTTACCCAGTCATAACACTTCTACACCTGATAAAGTCACGCTTTAAACTGCTGATTTAAAAGGTCAATTTAAAAACTGCTGCTTTAAAAAGCCAGTTTAAAAATTGCCGTTTTAAACTGCTGTTTTAAACGGCCGATTTAAAAACTGCTGTTTTAAATGGCCAATTTAAAAACTGCTGTTTTAAACGGCCAATTTAAAACTGCTGTTTTAAACGGCCAATTTAAAAACTTCCAGTTTAAAAACTACTGTTTTAAACGGTCAATTTAAAAACTGCTGTTTTAAAAAGCCAGTTTAAAAACTGCTGTTTTAAAAAGCTAGTTTAAAAACTGCTGTTAAAGTTAAAGGGCAATTTAAAACTTTCAATTGAAAGTATTGATTTTACACTGCCTTTTTTAAATCTATTTTAAATGTCTAACTTGCGTTACGATCTTTAATTGTTTTTAAAATTGTATTCTAAACTGTTGTTCAAAAAGTTGTTATAAAAAAGTATATACTATTGTTTGAAAAGTTTATTTTAAAGTTTATACTTTTAAAAAAACCTTAAGACTCGTTTTAAACTACCATCATAAACTGTTGCTAAATGTTACCTATATTCGGCTTTAAAACTGCCTATTTATTTAAACCTGTTCAATAATTTGATATGGGAAAAAAGTAAAGAAGTATGGAGAAAGAACAATATTGAACACACCGCAGTCTTGTCAATATTTTAGAAGTAATTTTTTTAGTTACGATTTTATATGCGAGTTCAAGTCCTTACATTGTGATAGAGAAACATAAAATTGAATGAACTAAAGCTATAGACAGTAACACGGAGGACAAAATTAGAGCCAGATTTACGGCAAACTTCTCGGCAAATCGCCAAACGGGAAGTTGCCAGGAAGAAACGCGCGTCTAACCTGGCAATGAAGGAGGTAACTCGTAATCCACGACTGCTGGCACGTTTTTCATAGAAAACTTTGCAGACGGCTATCAATAATTTTCTAAATAAAAACTGAGTTATTCTGAGATCTTGTTATGAAAGATATAAAAATATACAGCTAGAAACAGGATTAAAAAATAATAAGTAAAGGGAGGCAATACGAGATTTTCTGAATGGACCAAGCTCGTTAAACATGGTCGTGTTGGTGTGTAGCGTCTATCTAGCAAGTGTGTTAACCATTTACACGTCTGATGTTATCGTGGCATAGCCGGTAATTGTTTACTACAGCACGCTGACATTTGCCGGCATCGAATTTATTCACCCCACCCCCTTTCTCCTATATTCACCGCCCTCCTCCTATATTCATTCCCCTTCCTCCTATATTCACCCCCCCCTTCCTCCTATATTCATCCCCCTTCCTCGTATGTTCACTCCAACCCCTTCCTCGTATGTATACCCCTCCACATCAGTGGCGTAGCAAGGCGGAGGTGGGAGGGGCACATAAAGATACATTTTTTAAATGTGATTTTTTAAAAACAAGTATTGAATTAGAAATTTTAAAAAGCAATAGTGGGATTATTATTTTTTTTTAAAGATATTTTAAAAAGTTTTCACTCCTGTGCCGTGGATCAGCATTTATTTAGCTTGAACCAGCGGCAGTAAAGTGCACATGTGCAACTACACATTGACTAAAAAATGTCCACATCCCTTGTGAAGCCTGCATTGTCCTACTTGGTTAGCACACGCATCGTAAGTCTTGTTTGACACAGGTCGTAAAACTGTGTGCACTAATTGATGTCTAGTTTAGAACAGCCAGAAGACACGTAACACATTTAACAGATGTATGGGTCTACTCTTATGGTGGCATATTCACAGACATATGGGTCTACTCTTATGATGACACTTTGAAAGACATATGGGCCTAATCTTATGAGGACATAGTCAAAGACATATGGGACTGCTCTGATGGGGACACATTCTCAGACATATGTACCTATATGTGAGCTGACAGACTCACTGTCGTAAGGATCTATAATTTGGTCAGAAAATAGCGTGAGGCGTTTGAGGTTTCTTACAGGAAATTTGACAAAGGTCGAATATTTTGAATGACAACCGCCAATAAAGTCACTTTGCCAGAGAAAGATTTGTTTCATTCACTAGTCACATCTGTCTTTAAATTAGCATGTTATAATGTGTGGGATAAACAAACCACTGTCAATTAGGGGACCTCAGAACATGAACAAAAAGACAGAGCTGTGCGCCAAATGATTGCACGTTGAGAAGTGCCATCAAAGATCAGTGAAATCGACGACAGTGCCAACAGAAGTAGAGAAGAGATCTACTTACCATGGCCGTGGTGTAGCGTTGTGTTTGTTTCTAGTGACGATGTGAGGCAATGTGATTAATGGAACAGCGTCAATACATTTGTTTACTGCTAATGTGTTGGAGGGCTTCAGCCACGTGTGCTGTTTAATATGTGTTGTATCGGTTCAATATTAATACCGGATTAGATGGTAAGTAAAGTTCCCATTTCTAACTTGACGGTCCGTGGAGCAACAGAGGAAGTAGAGTTCACTTGTTTCTGTGACCTCTGTATAAAGAGATAGTGTGGTCAGCACTCTGTCCACTTTCCCTTTAGCTGGAGTTCTCAAAGACGTTCTACGTACTTAAACCGGATTCGAACTCAAGACTTTCAGGTTATCAGTCGTGTGCTCTACCATTCGACTCTACCATCCATCCCTGAATTAGACGATAGTGTAGTTACAACTAATGTTGCTGTTTTTAATAGTGTGTCAAATGTGTTTGTACAACAATAGAACGAAATGTTTGACGCTAGAAACTTGAAGCCCTAACTAAATTCGTTGATTGTGGTTTTTTTTGTGTACAACAGAATGAAATAAAACCCGAAAATTCACGAAGAATTGTCCAGCGTGAGAGTACGTATTTGCTGAGACATTGTTGTCGTGTCTCTTACCTAACAAAACTATTCACATCTTTACCGGGAGTGATCTCCCCTAAACTTTCTCGAATATTTAATACTACGGAGGATGGCAACTCGGGAAAAACTAAAAGTAGAATAAGTTCCACTTCCGGTTATCGGAAATCGCTGAAAAGTTGACACAGAACTACAAACTTGATATAATACACATATGAAATTTCATCTACTTAGTTGTAACGGTACTCAAGTTATCGTGTTTACCAACACTACCTTATCGTGAAAAAAAGAAGTTCAGGAAATAGATAAATTGAATAATATATTTTTAAAACTATTCACATCTTGGGAGAAGCTACCCTAGGAAACAAAGTGTAGAATATCTTACCAAAACTTTCATCTCCGTCTGCGCATCCCTCCTGAAGCGCGCCAAACCCTGACCGTACGTCTGCGAGTGTCTCCTGAGGCCGTCAGCGTAAGACCTCTCGGCGATGGACGCCCAGGTCAGCGACTCGACCAGCTCCTTCTTCTGACGCCTGAGTTCTTTCAGCTCGTCCACAAGCTTCAACTTCCGCTGGTCAATGTCCAGCTTGATGCGCGCGGGCCTGCTCTCTCCCAGCAGACGCTGCAACATGGCGTCCTTCGCGCTGACCTCTGACCTCAGTTTGTTGATCTCTGCATCTTTGTGCCTGGGATTGTTTTTGTGAATACATTTAATAACAGTAGACGTACGCTCTGTACAATTATACACGGAGTTAATTATAAGCCTACCCATAGCAGTAGACGACGACAATAGAATTTTTAATCAAGTGTGTGTATGTGTGAGTGTATGTCTGTGGATGTGTGTTGATGCTGTCGACGGGTCAGAGAAAAGAATAAACAAAGAACTGTATTGGCACAGATTTAAAAAGCAGGTTAATCTTTTTTTTTTAATCTCTGTGTCAGATTAGACGTCCCACAAATCAACAAACCATCTCTGGAACACACACACACACGCACACACGCACGCACACACGCACACACGCACGCACACGAACAGGCACACGCACACGCACACACACACACGTATTTTGTATCAGTTCATCGTGAACTATCTTTTGTATTGTGCTATTCACCTGCAACCAGCTTGTACTATCCTAACCCGTATTGTATTTGTAGCTGTGTGTTATGGATAAACTCTACTCGTCGTAGAATCGTATATATCTATACAGGTGTACAGATATTATAGTAAAGACTTTGTTATAGTACATGTATACATGTGTTATTTTACTCTCTGACAGGTGTTATATTACAGGATTCAGGTGTTATAGTACTGGATTACAGGTGTTATATTACAAGTTTTACAAATGTTAAAGTACAAAGTGTGACCTCTCTGGTATATTGCTCAGCATCTACAAAAGACTATTTGCACAATCGACATTTCCAAGTAAATAAACTTCCCATCACCTGTACGATGCCTCCATTGACCACA